TCTTATTCCGTAACCGGGCATAGAATATAATATTGCAACGCCGGTTTCGCTAACAATGAAAAACCATGAACAAGGAGTAATCACGCGTAAAGAAGCACTTGTTTAAAAAGAACCGTAGGATGGTTAGAGTAAAAATAAAAATTTGAAGGATCACCAAATAAAGAAATGGTCTTTTCAAGTGTCCGCCGAGTTAGATGTACTACTACATAAAGATAATTTTACGTGGAAATGGGATGTGCAAACAAAAAATAGTATAGAAAGCTGTTACAGTTTAGTAATTGCGTGAGGAATGCAACTTGAAGGAACAACGCTCGCTCATTTGTTTCTTTATTTGACATTTGTAGTATACTAATCCAATGAACCCACATCAAGACTAATCACATGGACACTTCTGCAATTATCCACACTGCCACGTTGTTGAGAGGGCCGTTAAGCACACGGGAAATATTGCGTTATATTTTGGTCCATGTGGAGCGGACCATATCAAGTGATGCAAGTTGGGAAGCGCTTCATCAAAGCGTTTTTAAAAGCGTTAATGTTGGTGTAGGTATAACGTACGTCTGAAGCGCATTGCAGGCACGGGACACACATGGGGGGAACACATTTCGTCGACGGTAATGCGTAGCCAGTTTCAGTTGATGACCTTGAAGGTTGGCATTTTCTGTCAACGGCAACAGATTGCGACATGGGTGAGTTTGATTCGCCAGTATATAGTAAACCATGATTAGGTCTCAGGCATGACGTCGATGTTCACCACTGTTCAGTCTCAGGGACTGCACTTTACGTTGGTAATGGAGAGGCAAAACAATCCTCAACAGAGTTTGGTCGCTCTACGTTGTGGAACTACATTTGCATCGACGTTGCGTTTCGCCAGTTATGCTGGGCTTATATCGCATATTTCACGTGGAGCCCCACGTAAGCATTCAGTATTTGCGGAAATATTAATGGCTCAAAATTGCAGAAATCCCTCCGTAACAGTCAAAGATTTTGACTGGCTATTTTTGGTTCCTTTTAAGCCTGTTTCGAGCACCCCAGATCTTCTTGTACGATCATCCTGAGATCGATTTATTGGGAAGCACGTAACTGCTGGTCCCCAAATCGATATTTCTAGATAAGCTAATGGCGTATGCTTATACCCTTGCACTGGGTCACGCTGAACTGCAACGGTCTTCATATGATCGAGAAAATGCCCTGTAGAAATCGCTCTGCAATGCCATGTGATCATCCGATGTCCTGATACCATGTCAACTTTTGGTATGGTTTTCAAATGTTAAGTAATTCGACTGCAGTAACTACCAAAGTTGTTAATGAATGTGTGGTATAAACCTATCTCCGTTAGCGATCCTTTCGGCAAGCCACGCTAGACATCAATTGGTTCGGATATAGATCTGCAGACACGCATTCAGCTGACGTTGAGCGAGGAAATTGCCAATCCAGTCGCGGATAGTGTAACTGCTTTCAAAACTTCAAGGTTTGTGAAGGAGAATGGGGTGGTCCAAATAAGCAAGCGCTTTCGAGAAGTCCAGTTAGAAAACGTCGACTCCCACTCTGACATCGGCTGACTCAGTCCAGCTTGCACGGGCCAGCAGCAATTTTGTAGCGCAGGATAGATTACGGCGGATTCCGTGTTGCCGTGACTGGGTTGTTTTTGCTCCTAAGTTATCCCATGAACTCCAGTAAACTTATAAGTTCCATTACTTTGGATGAATCTGGCCGGAGAGTGAGTGGACGGTAGTTCGAAGGCTCCAAATGAGTCCCTCCTTTGTAAATAAGGGTGCGAAGTCCATGTTTCTTCATAGTAAGAACCTGTGTTTTGTTGAGTGAAGATTAAAGGAACCGAGCTGATCGTTCTGCTAGAATCATGCCTGCTGTCTTCAAAGCATCAACTTTGATGTCACCCACGCCAGGTGAGCTGCGAACGCGCAAAGACATTAGCGTTTTTATCACATTAGTTACTCTGAACGATTCGTGTTTTCAAAAAGATGGTGATTGGAGCTGTGTTCAATGCGGATAAAATCATGATCCACTCCGGAAAGTATGGATGAAATGTTAGCGAAACATGTTGGCCACATCTTGTGCAGTGTGTGCAAGACCATACGTTACCCGTAAAACCGGGAACCCAAGCTGCACTCTGCTGAGCTACTTGATGTATCTATTCAGCAACTAGGGATTTATTCTGAATTTCGCCGCTAATTTCTGTTGGTGCTGGAGTTTGTCATTGAGAATTAACTTGACGCATTGGTTTCGTTGACGTGTTCCAGCACCCCAGTTTAAATTAATTGGGCAAAATTTGTAAGCTCGCTAGGCTGAATCCTTTAATCCATGCATTTTCTAGTATGGATCCACAGGAACAAGTTCACTTGCTTCAGGCTAAGAATCTTGTATTCTGACGCATTTGTCACTAGCTCACCAACTTGGGTGAGGAACAACATCTAGGTGACCTCGGAAGGCTTCTCGGACAGAAAGCACCACTCACTAATGTACTCCGAGTAACAGATATAACGAGAGAGAAATCGTCTGATCGCTACGACCAAGGGGTGTATCTATGGTCACGAGGTTGATTATTATTGCCGTGTTGGTGGGCACAAGGTCAACAACAGTAGATGTGTTACCCGTTAGGAAACGCGTGGCACAAGTGACACGGTTGTACAGACGTTCATCTGCGATAACCACTTAAAAATTCGCCTTAAATTGTTCGTTGTGCTTTGCTGGAACTCCGATTGCGTGCAACTTGAAGTCTCCCACCAGAAGGACATGACTGTGTGGTTGTGTCAAAACTGGTTTCATCGCAGAAGCAGAACATTGATCCATTTCCTTGGTGGACATTGGGGGCGGTAAACTGTTGCTAGTAAACACCACCTTTACGTCTTAGGTGCATAGACCAACAAATATAATGGACGCCTTTCGATTCCGCGTCCTCATTGGCATCAACATGTACGTCGGATGGATAATACAGGAGCACTCCCCATCCTCTGCTGGATCGGTCGTTTTGTATGGAAGTCATGCCGTAAAGTGCAATTTCAGCATCCATGTACTCCGTATTAAGCCATGTTTCGGTGACTATATATAGATCCCAAAGCGGGGAGACCTGACGAATTACGAACTTTGGTTACCTTGTGTATAAGTTCTTGTGCATTATTATACAAGCAAGTTTGGTTGTCGCTGGTCAGAAACTTGTTTGTGAATGCTAGTTTTCGGTGAGGCTCCATGTCGACCATTGAACGGTCGACTGACGGTAGATTTTTTGTAAGACCGACGACGCAGGACCTAGGGCCAGTTCAGCTTGTTGTATAGAGCACTCAGCGACAACAAGAGGGTGACCATCCTGTTCTCATTCAGCTGTTGGTGTGTTTTGGCATCGTTATTGTTCTGAAATACAAGGCGACAACGTAGTATTTGTAAGTTTGCCTGCTCCATTTTACATTGTCTATCTGGGGCCCGGTGCTTATTGCCTTTGTACGTATATCGGATGGCAGAATTTTACGCTTTTTGTCACAGTTTGGTCAGATGCTCTGCCATCAGTTCGGATGCATTGATACTTACAGCACTCGAGGACCACAACCTTGGTACTTAAGTGATAGCGGTAACCTACAAATCAAAATAGCGATAATATTTGCATATGACAGTACTACAAGAATAAAACGCCGTTCATTCCAGTCACGCGCTCTGACCTGTAGCTTGCCTATTGAGTAGAGCTCGGAGACATCGTGAACAATGATTGGTTTCGTGTCTTGTTATTTACGGAACTCATCCGTATTTTGCTTGCTTTTTGGCTTTCGCTCCAATGAACACCTCGAAATATTCGAACAGTGCATGTAATGGTGCGGAGGCGAGTGGCTGACAAGAGAACTGCCTCTGCATCACTACCTGACTGAAGAGTTACCTGGAGTAACCGCGGTGCACCGTAGTGTAGGGAGTTAAGGTGACGGACAAGATGCATCATACGGACTGATTTAGCTTGAATCCGTATTATTTGACACAGGTTGTCCCAGTGTTTTTGTCGTCTAGTATCTTATATTTTATGGCTGCTGATTCATCTTGTTACTGACAAGAACTGTGAAAACGGGCGGGTCTACTTCCACTCTCAGCCGGACCGCTCTGAATGGCTTCCTGTTGGTCGGTCAGGCCAGAGATCCTCGCTGTCAGTGCCTCCTTAGAGGCGGCAAATCTTGACATAGCCGGGCCCATGCGTACCGCCTCCGGAATCGCCTTTAGCCTTTTAGCACCAGCAAAGAAATGATCTCGGAGCTTTCGAGACTCCAAACTGAACAGCCACCAAGCACCTCAAACAATTGTTCCAACTTTCATATAAAATTTGACTAAGAACCATCATAAGGTACACTGGCTAGTATCGGCGCCTAGTTGGCGAACTAATGATGACTCACCAGTTTGCGAGGCACCCCAAACAAGTCTACCGCGAACTGCAACCACACGACGATAAGGTTTCACCCGTTCAATTTGGCAACGCAACACAGCCGGCTAGAATTCTAGCATTGGAAATCTACCACAAATTAGGTTGTGACTTCTCACATAGTATATGGGTTTAAAATCGCCATTGGCATTACGAAGTATGCTTGTGTATATAAGCGGACGATATCACAGGAGGAAATACGAAACAAAACACAATCTTTTAATACAGTCGATTTTGACCCTTGTACGCATGGCTATACCAAGACAACGAAAAAGCTTTTGTCGCACCAACGTGCTTCCTTAGCTAGATGTATGTGGTTCACATACTGGCTATCGAAAGGAATTTGTCAAAAGATATCTTCTCTTAATCCATAATACCATTGTTTCACTGCAGTTTGATGGACAGCTTATGCACAAACATGCAAATTGACAAAGTTTGCATAGTAATTTTGCTGTCCAGTATTCCGCGATGCTTGTATTCATTGGTCTGCACAAAACGAAGTGAGTCTGAAAACGTTCTGCGAATGCGATTATATTGAAATCGAAAATAGGCAGCTGGGTGACCAACGAGCGCCATTCCAAACTGGCGCTCAATTTTCTTCAAAATTGCTTCGAATTACTTGAAATGTGTGCTTCATTAGCCTCTCAATTGCAGCTTGGTTCTCCGGGTTCTTAAAAAGTGATCTGTAGAACTCAATGACGACTGGTTCACCAGTCTGAAATAAACGAAAAAGATAACGTCATTAAGTATTCCGTAAGAACTTATAGTGAAAATTAAAATGCCAACGAAGAAACTCACCACAAATAGTTCCTTTGCCATAAGCTTCCTAGCTTTTCTTTTGGCATACTTCATCTGAAATTCGGCGAGCTTCTCACTGTCAGATGCGACATTAATTAGTTTTACAAAATGTCCGATAGTTTTCCGCGCGACATTTATAGCGACGTCTGATTGCAGAACAACATTGTTGTCTGTAACTCCGTCTGGGCAATAATTTTCGCCAAACTGTGGTATTTCGGTAAGGTATCTACAACAGAATGAGACTAGGTTTTGCCATATTTTAAATGGAACAGCGCAAATTTCAAGTACGTCGTCGAAACTCACTTGGCCAATGCTATCCGACCGATTGCTTCCCTGTCCTCCTCGGTGCCCACGTGCGGGTCGAGTTCGGCGATCAGGCAATCAACTTCGGCCTGTGTCAAAACAGCCATTACTTCAAAGTTTACGGTTGAAATGCTTCCCTTAGAAACAGAATGGTTTGTTATATATATTGTTTCGAGTCCTAACCGTTCTACTCCTAGCAACCATTCACCATCACTTTGCGTACCCTTGTTTATGAGTTCGTTGTTTGTACAGACAAATTTACCTAGAAATCCACTTCCTTGATTTTCTATCTTGCATCCGGAAAGGTGAAGTAATACGATAACATTAAACTTGATGAATGACCTACACATGTTTACTCGCTACATCTGCAGCGCATGCTAAATATCTTAGCTAATAATAACAGAGTTGACTTGAAATTGGTTCTGAGAATAGGAACACCAATTATTAGCAGCAGATCACATGTACGCATGACTAGTATGCATTACCGCCGGGAATCTAAGGTTTACCACGTTACAAGCATATTTCGCAATGAGATAGCAGAACGTGAAATTGGAAGCTACGTTTGTTTTAGAGGATTAGTATGTTGATTACTTTATATCAGGATGCAATACCGCTAAATTCGGCATCTATATAATGTGTTGGGTGTAAAGTTCCTGCAGACAAGCATCAGTTATGGCTAAGTCATGTCAACTACCTTGACACGTAGAAACTGGAAAGTGGCTTTAAGCTTCATTCCGTATCGACAGTTTTCTACAGAATGAAACGGTGTCTGTGCTTGGGCACGGTGCAATCGTTTACTCTAGTCGCCCAATGTGTAAAAAACAGCTTCGTGAATTTTCTTGTTAGCCTTCAACATTAGTCACAAGGAACATTTCACAAGCTGACTTAGGTGTATGGTGGTGTCCTACAAAAACGATCCTCATGGATGACACTTTCATAATCGAGACTACCAAGGCCAGTTCCATTCATCATGTTCACGTATCTACGATGGCTGATTTTGCAACTCTGCGCCAACCTACTCTGTCCTTATTGTCAGTGGACGTTGGGTATCCAATCGTGCAGGCGAAAACATGGTCAGATTTTGCTGACAATATGGTGCAACATTTCATATGAGGCCTCATCGGATCAAGTGAGTTAGAAGTTATTCGCTAGAACTAAGCTTCAAATCAACTTAAACAAAGAACCTGTGTTGCGTATGGGAATGTTTCGGCAATTTGGCGAATACATTCTGCATACAACCTGCAAATCTAACATTCTCAAATTTTCGTGACTAAGCCAGCGACAGTAGTTGCAACATTTGCATAATTTACTTCCCTCCTGTATTGGCTGGTCTCAAATCGCACTTGAGTCGATCAATAATGGATTTGATCAGGGCGGACCAAATTCACATTTTAATCGGTGACGGGTTAAACTGCTACAAAAATGCTTTTAAATTGTTACGCTGGATCGTAATTTGCTATAAGCTAAATTATGTAGTGGAGGAAGTGGTAATATGTGCTTACCAGTAAAAATTTCGGGTGTGTTCTTTTCGTAAATTTGCCGCAAGTTAATATAAATTCCAACTTGGATTTTGGATCTCCAGCCAAATTGGATTGTTTATTTAAGGACGTAGCACCGCTATTCGCCAAGACATTTCTGCTATCCATATTGAAGTTTACAATTGTACGCCAAGCATTTGTATACTTAAACACTTAACGATTTTAAGTTGTGATTCTGACATATCCATGAATTCGCAATATCTCTAATCGAAAATGCACACAGCCAGCAGCAATGTCGCGCACAAATTCGTGCGCAGACTTTTCGATCTTAAATGTGTATCGATTTACATTTGCCTTCCGCTGTCTATTAGATCGCACACATCTTCTCATAGGTTCCACTTGCAGATATATTAAATTTAGCACTTTCAAACACTATGCAACTCTTCAAGCTTAAGATCGTAGTGACTCAGTTAGGTCCGAATAGACCAGGTGGTTTTCAATACCGTCTGCACTAACTTTCCCCGATACATTAAAACGCTTCATTTTTTCCGTAAAATCCAAAAAGCAGACCACACTTCTATGCTCACTCTTGCAACTTCTGTTATTTGCTGGCTTTAGACCCCCAAACCTACTTCAGGGTGGTTGAAGAGGTCCGCTTAACCGATTCCTCATCATCATTTATTCGACTACTAGTGTATACTTGCCTCACTCAGGTACCCAACCGCTTGCATCAAAAAGCACTCCCAGCTCCGAGCTGAGCCTGAGCCAAAAATGACCTTGCGAATGAAATATGTTTTTCTCACCTTGCCTTTCAAAGGAGACATACAGCTGGAGCACTTGAGTAGGAAAATGACTTCCGCGTTGAACCAAACGTATTTGGACTTCGGAGTCCGCATTCACGTCAAAACCGTCCCGCTCATCACCAACCGCCATAAAGACAGAATTCCGGCCCAGTCCGAATCTTATGTCATATACCAGTTCATTTGAAACTGCGGTGCGAGATATCTCCGGAACACAACCAGCCGTCTGTCAACGAGAATAGGGGAACACTACCCTCCATCAATACAGAATGGTAATAACAAAAATGTCTACAACTCCGTCCTAGAACACCTAGTAGAGAGTAGACATAACCTACGAACGAAAGAGGCCTTTAAAGTAGTGTATATGGCAGCAAAGTGCTGCACAAAAGGACTCCGTAAGCGTATACTGGCCACAGCAGAAGCAATTTCGAATAGCAGATAAGGCCGGAACTGGGTAAACAGCGTGCAAAAATGTGTTTAACACTTCCGTTGCCGTAGCATGGTCACCTGACTTCTGACATAGTGGTCAATGGTAGTGGGTTCAAATAGCCATAGATTGACACCGTCCATCCGGTCGCAGCATTCACGAATTTGCGTCGCATGGCTCGGAATAGCTACTGAACAACTGATAATGAAGCTCATAATTGTAATTACCTGATGAGATTTATCGAAAATATTTCTTTGCGATTTCCTGTTGTTATCTAATGTGTCGTCTCAAGTGATTTAGCTACCGCTGCAGCAATTTCGTTTCAGTTGCCTGCAAAGTATTCATAAAAATGGAGTTATCGGATTACCGTGTATTCTAAATGCGTACTTATAGGACTTTTGCCGATCGATATATTCTAATTTCTACTCCATTTACTCAAGCCGCTCAAGTCACAGCAGATGTCAAGGACCAGATGCAAGTTGCAGTCATCTCGCCGAAGCCACGCGCCACGACCTTCACTACATCTGCAAAGGCTATGCGAAACTACGGTACCCTAACCCAGAGTCCAAGGCGAATTCCGTAAGCTGCAAATGGCGAGACGATCTGAACGAGTGGAATAATGTATGTGACCGGATCAGTGTTCGAGCCAGACGCACTAATTTAATGCGCCTTACCAGACGACCGAGATGGTACAGTACGGTAACCTTGGCTACTACAATTAACATGGGATCCACAGATTGTGTTGAGACGGTACTTTGTCAGAATACGGCGGCAGAGAAACCACATAGAGATAAACGTAATTCCGGATGTTCTAGCGGTACTAATAAATAAATAATGAATACTAAAACGCCAAATGTACACCGTAACGGTGCTTTGCTGCCACGTGACCACCACCAGTCGCGCGTGGGCTGAGCACACAGCGAGGACACCCGCCCCTACGCGGATTCCAACCGGTGACCTAATGGTTGCCAACCAGACGCGTATAATATTCGGCCCCCGGCCGACAACGGTACTATGACAATTCAAACGAAATCCACACGAAGAGTGGCCTAATGAGCCTTTTTGTTCACGGCATATGAGATTTATAGGCAGTTGGTTTAGAGGAAGCCCATGCGCATGACCAGAATGAGCGGAAGTACATCCGTGAAGCCACATACTGCTGAGGCAGTACTTCAGCAAAATTCACGGCCATAACCGGCGGGTATGCGATTTTGCAAATTAATAATGCTTAAGGTTGTGCAAAGTAAGCAAGAATCAAAAGTTTCAAGCGCTTAGCCGCTTACTTGACCCATGCTTTGTGAAGTTTAAAATTTGGAACACAATGCTCAAGGATTTTCCCATGCATCCGAAGAAAAGTCGCCCTGGAAAAGCCGTGGAAAGTAAACAAGCCCGACAACTAACCGACTAGCGATTATCATGCTAATTCATGTTCCACTCCACCTACTGGTAATGAGAGTGAGCAAAGCTACATTTCCTGTTGTTCATCAACCAAACTGAATTTACCTGCGCTTATAAAACGCATGTACTACGCAGATTAAAGGCGGGAGTGCTGTGACGCTTACTAGAAGTTGAATTAGACGTGACCAACCTTCTAGGAAGACTAAGAATAAGATAACGCTAAAGGTAATGGTAGGTCAGTTTAATGGAATATTACAACGGAAGAAAATCATTTCATAACGATAACCGTTTGGGAGCGCATGGTGGCTGCACCCGAGATGTACGATGACAAATGCTTGCCAAATAGCTTACGGGTACAGCAGATTACATAGGTGTATGTACCAACGGTTGACTAATTGGATGCCACCAATGCTCCTTCTTGGAAATTTACAAAACAGCGTGGGCACTGTTTTAAATGCCGATTGTTTGACAGTAGGCAGCGGGAATCAGTTGAATTAGTACTGCCGTTGTCGTCGCACCAAAGAGGTCAGAATCGGCGAATATGGGATTGTACCACTTGAAAATGCCTAAGGTTGCGCAAATTGCGTTCTTTGAGGATCCGCACAAACCTCATACGGCAATTGATCGGACCGGCCTAGTCTTAAGCGTCGTGCGGCAACGCGGAGAACCTACAGTAATCACCTCATTGCGTTCACATGCTGTGTGACCTCTATCAGCTCCGTAAGCATGAATCCAAATATAGTAGGTAGCAACTCAATACACACTAACAGTACCACTATTTCACTTACCTGTTAGTTAATTGTCATTCTGATTGGAACCGGACCCATGGCACTTGCTTCCCTATTCCTACACATGTTCCCACCAAATGATGATGCCAAAGATTCTGATTAAATTTAGGGCTGCTATTTAGGTTCACGTCTAAATGTTAAGAAAACACAGGCAACTCTTTTTTATTGCTTCTCGTAAGTGTGCTTTCCCATATAAAAGGAATATGGCTGTTAGAC